GAGTCCAGCCCGAGTGACGGCAGGATGCGTCCTGACGTTGAGACAGCAAACTTGCGGTAAAACCACAAGTGTGTTTCTCGGTGAGAAGGTACTTTCAATGGCGAAGCTTTTTCTGCCAGCCGTTACTCTCCCTGTGGGCTCAGACCTGTGGTACGTGCTCTCCATGGCTCCTGTCTGATTTATGGGGGTAGTGGAGGTGAAAGGATGCTGTATCTCAAGTTACTATTAAAGAAATTAACTGCTTTGATTGATACAGAATAGACATCCCGATACGTCTACCCTAGTTCTTATATACAGGCAGTTAAGATCATAGAATCACAGAATTACTAAGGTTGGAAAGGACCTTCAAGATCATCAAGTCCAAACATCAATCCAGCACCACCATGTTCCCTAAACCATGTCCTGAAGCGCCACATCCACACGTTTTTTGAACACTTCCAGAGATGGCGACTCCACCACCTCCCTGGGCAGCCTGTGCCAATGCCTGACCACTCTCTCAGTGAAGAAATTTTTCCTAATATCCAATCTAAACCTCCCCTGGCGCAACTTGATGCCATTTCCTCTTGTCCTATCGCTGGTTACTTGGGAGAAGAGACCAACACCCACCTCACCACAACACCCTTTCAGGTAGTTGTAGAGAGCGATAAGGTCTCCCCTCAGCCTCCTCCTCTCCAGACTGAACACCCTCAGTTCCCTCAGCCGCTCCTCATAGACTTGTGCTCCAGACCCCTCACCAGCTTCGTTGTCTGAATTATCTCGGGAAACATTAACTTTTAAGGTTCCTTAAAAACGTAGAAAACAGAAGAGGTACCAAATGCAGAAAACCACAGTTCTCATTTAAGACTTCAAGATGCAGTAGCAAGCTCTCTGAAACCTAAGTAGGTGACCCACACTCTGCACAGCAGGCTGAGGGCAAAATTCCAGCTAGAGACACGAGCCCCGTGCTTCGCCGGCAATGCCGCGCTGAGAGCAGAGTTCAGCCTTTCGAAGCAAAGGTCGGAGGGAGAGGGGAGATGAGGTCGAACTGCAGTGCGGTCCTTCTCCTCCCAGTAGAATCGCCCAGCCCGTACGTTCCCCTCACATACGATAGAGGTGTTGCTGTACAGACCCCCCTCCCTCAATACACCTGCAAGAGAAGCGACTGCCAGGAATTTGTGCTCCTGCAGAGTGGGTAGAAACGGCAAGAGCAGCAGTGCTGGCAAACCAGAAAGGGAGGGATGTTTGTACGTGCTGAAATGTTCCAATGCTGTGAACGCGCAACACGCCAACTCCTTCTTCATTAAAAACCAGAATTGTTTCCCCAGAGCACTAGAGGCAAGAGAATCCCAAGCGGTGTTGAAAATGTCTGATTTTCATTATCTGAGGATGAATGGATACAATTCGTAATGAAATCCACGCAAAAATCATGGTCTGGTGATCGAAACTCCAACTAATTACAACAATTAAGAACCAGAGTGTCTGTGTACCCATCCGCACGTTTTCTGCACGCCGTCCTGATAGCTGAACAATAATTCTTCTCAGGAAGAAAACGAACAAGTGGAGATACCTTAAAGAAAATTGCTTGGCAGAGCAATTCTTTTACTGAAATTTGCATGACTGTTAATAGAGGACATTTAGCAAGCCTGTGCGACTGGAGTACTGGAAAGAAACCCGAATGTTTACTACAGCAATACATGAAAAGATCTTTCTTTTACCTGCTCAAAATAATAGCTAATTCAGAATTGCTATTGTTTGCTGAGAGGGGAAAAAAATCCATAATCCCTTGGAACTGGTTAATATGAACAAAAACACAGTGCTTACTAGCTGTGTAACATTGATTTCTTTAAGCTGCTGCCTCAATTACTTCCAAAATGAAGGCTGACATCACTAATATGTCTCTTTTTTCCCAGCAAATTACCATTCATTTGTAAGAGTAGCAGGGCTACTGCAGTCTGCCCCGCTGCAAAGGATGTAAAATTAATTTAAATAATTACTGACCTAATTCCATTTCTCACGTTTAGCCCAAACTGCCTGGATGCACTTTTCCGCAACCCGCCTTCTCTCTGAAGGCAGCCTAACGCATCGACCGACCAGTCTGCTCGCAGCCATTCCCACCTCCCAGCGGCAGCGGCGATGCCGCTCTGCAGCGCGCTGTGAAGCTACATCCTACCTACAACCTGCATCCGCCAGCGGCTTCCTGGCAGGAAGGGACCCTGGTTTCCGTGCCTCATGGCACATGTGAGGTGGCCCAGCCATGGAAATGCAGTGAGGTTTCTTCTGGCATATCCCCGCACTGCTCCGGGGAAGAACACGGTGTATTGATGAGCATCATCAATACTTACCGCGGAGTTTCCGCCACATATAGTGATCTCCCAGCCCGAGGGGAAGAGCTTTGTATAAAATCAATGACGTGTAGTGCTTGCTTCATTTCAAGAGATGTCCGTGGGTGCACGGAGAGGGACGCTCCGCCAGCAGACACAGGGTGTCCCCGTGACCGTTGTCGCTGAGCACCGCTGAGGATGGAGACGCAGACCCCAAAGGGAGGCCCCGGGGGTCCTGCCGCGCAGGCTGGCTCTTGCAAGCGTCCCCATGGCACACCTCAGTTTCTCAGCTTTGTAGCCAGTTCTCCCTCAAAACCAAGTGACCTTGGTGCCCCTCAACTGCCAGAGGGGCAAGTCAGCCTCTTCCAGCCTTCGCCAGGCTCCCGGATCCCTCCTCACCCTCAGCTCCCCAGGCCCCCGGGCTCGTCCCAGCACCCTCCTCTGCTCCCTTTTCTGCCCTCAACCTGCTGCTTGCGCTGCTGCTAGGTTTGTGAATTTGTTTCCAAATAACTTAGGACCTTTATTACTTTTTCATTACACATTAATTAGTGCCTGCCTCTTAAGGTCAGTATGAAATACAAGACGGAGGTTGGGCATGTTAATGAGAATCTAACTAATTAAACTGGGGACTTGTAGGGAAGAACTCTGACAAGTAACCAACACGATTTAAGCAAAGTATATTGATTTAGGAAATGTAGAATTGAAAGAAAAATTAATTGCTTAAGCGTTTTATTCTCCAGAAAAGCCTGATTCACAGTTAATCAAATATTTTAATTGAATTTATCTGAGGCCTCTAAATAAATTTGAATAAAGGATTATGCTTGGATCATCCCTTGTATGTCTGGAATTTCTTAATGACAAGATAAAGATCTTCATCCGAACTGGCAGCCTTAACTCTGCATTGCCGTGCTCTGGCTGCTATAAGCTGCTCAGTACTTGAGTAGAGTTTTGTAATTCTCAGAAATCACTCAAATTCACCCCTAAGCCTTGATATATAACCTGGGAAGACTGAAAAGCAAGCAAACCTACTAATCCATGTCTTACTTGCTAAAATGGAAATAAAATGGCTTGTATTTCAAATGAGCCACAGCACCTCGTGCACATAAACGGTCACAAGATGGTTTTTGCCATCTTTTGTGCGTGATTGTTTGCATGAAAAAAAATCAAGCAAAAAAAAATGTAGACAGAGAGAAGACAGAGAGGGAGACAAGTGACTGAGGCACAAGTGCCTAGCTCTACACGTCAGGTTTGGTGAACACTGTCACCATGTACTGTCACCACGACCGCACATGTAAAATTGGAGCACTCATAACATGGGGTAAGATGAAACCTCTTCTAGTTATGTAATGTATTTTACAAGTGAAGTTACTGGAATAAATAACTGTCTGCTCAACTGTGTGTGTCCTGCAGAGCTAAACATAAATACTAAGCTAAAAATAACAGCCATAATAATGACTTTATTGGTGATCACAAAAGTGTGATAAATATTTTAAGAGCGAAAGCTCTGCAATGACAGGGCTCTGGTTTCTAGCTAACAGCAATAAATTACAGTTACATCAGGAGAAACCATAATTAAGTCTTTGGATCTTGACTTTAGGGATCTGGGATAAACAGCTTCTGGCCAATCACACAGAGAGCGAGGGAGAGATCTCAGGAGATTGCTGCTCCAGATTGCCTGTTACACAAAGCACAGCCTGAGTTCAGCAAAGCACATTTGCACGTAGCTGAAATAATACGTGTTAAACTCACCAGAACATAGCTATCTGCTTTAAACTGAGTATTTCCCTATATATTCTTTCTGTAAGAACATACTTAAGCATGTATTTTCGTGCCTTAACTCAGAGCCTTAATTTCTCCTTCTCAGCATCCCAGATTCTAAACAGAGATGATACCACTTTTCTCCTACCCTTTGCCTATCTTTACCTATTCTAGATGTATATTCTGGTGAGCAGGGCATGGTTTTACCCTGTGTTTGTAAGATTCCCACTCGGTGGAGCTCCATCCTTGGCCAGGGCCACCAGATGTTGTGAAAGAGTGAATAGTAGAAAGAGAGAGTGGCATCGGTTCCTGGGGTCAGCCCTCAAAGCAAGAACGAGGACTGGGAACAATTCAGGTCACTTCTACTCTGCCCTCTACCCAGCAGAGAATTTGAGCTCGAAGAAAGATATGTTACACATCTATTTGCTTGATGTTTTTCAAACTCCTGTTGTAACAAAAACTGAGGTTCATGACTCTGAGAAAATTAGGTTTTGGTCCTCCAGTCAAAACTGAGAAATAAATGCATCTGACCAACAGAAGTGACGGATCACACTGCAGTAGAAAAAAGGTCTAAATAACTAATGGGCTAAGTAATAAGGTCTTGGGTAAACCGAGAGCGACAGAAGAAATTGCTTTAGAAATTACTCTACATAAAACATTTGTTGAATACATTGCTTTTGTGAACATAAAAGCCCGTCTCTGCAGATAATTTGTCAAGGGGAAAAGGCACTCAACTCAAAACAATAAAGTCTTCTTTGTAGGCTGTGTCTCCACATTTATTTTTATTCAAAGGTCTAGAAGACAGTTCTACTAGAAATATCTGAGCAATTAAGCAATCTACACATTGTTCCCTTAAGTACGTGTTCGAAGGGATAGAAAGAATATAGTGTTATTTCCAAGACTACCTGGTGAGATGAAAAACGTTCTCCACAGTTTCTTGTCACGAGTAACATCTCGTATTTCTCTCGTCATGTTAACCAGTCTACCTGCAACCGGTGGCACGCGACGGAAATCCAGGATCCTGGAAGAGAAAGAAAAGAGCTAGTTTATGTAAAGGATTAAACTATAATGATAGTGATAGGTTTTAGGAAGGTTCACTACACTCTGAAGGCACATTTATTTGTGGTCTTTAAGGAGTAAAAAGCCCATCAACTTTATCCTTCGTATAATATGTTACAAAGTATGTCCTGAATATGATCAGCTCTGACTTGCCTACAGAGTATGGAGCAGATGCAAAATACAGAAGGGTATGAGGACACACTGTTCCATGAAAAAAATCAAGAATTTCAAGAATTCCAGAAAGAAGAGATAGTAGAATATTTTTGACTTTGTGCTACTTCAGGATTGTTATAACATGCATTTTGCTCACTAATTCTTTAAGTGACTTGAGGAATGGGATTTCAGCCTCTTTCTTCCATAAGCACCATCTAATAGATCTAAAAATGAGTAATTTTTTTTCCTGACAGTCTTAGTATCTGTTTGATTTATTTGCTTCTGCTGCTCTTTGTTTTAATACCGTTACACCAACCTAAACAATCATCCTGAGACTAAAAATTTTCTCATGGGCAAAGGCTTTCTCTACCCCAAACTCCCCCATCTTAGTCGACCATTAAAAACTCCCTATGAAGCATTGCTATTAGATACCGTAAAAGAGCAAAGTCCCCGTACAAAGCCTCCCCTTAGCTGGGATTTTTATGTCCACTGTCTGCTGGTAAGATTTTCTACATTGGGTAGCAACTGCTTTTTTCTGCTTAGTGTGTGGATATTTAACATACCTCCCTGCAGGAACTCCATTAATGTTTTTTCCTACAGCACCATCTGCTTAAAATGACAACATAAAATATAAAGCAGAAGGGATCAACGCCAAGGTCAACAACAATAAAACATAGAAGATCCTTGAAAGATCTGACCAGGACGGCTCTTAATGGCAAAACTACCTTGTGCCACCCACTGATAGTGCCACCCTCATTTTAACCATCAACCCAGAAGGCAGCGATGCTACACATACCCCCAAACAACTTGTGGCCCCAAAGATTCAAGCTTTTGATGGATGTTTCTTGGCACTTCAGGGTGTGAAAGATGTTTCAGTTCTAACTCAAGCTGTGGAATGCCGTGTTTTCTAGCCATACTGTTAAATAGCTCCTCACTAATGATTAATTCTGGCTCCTAATCTGGGCAGGTTGAAAGGCTCTAAGACTATTTCGAGCGTTGGGGTACCCACCTCACCCTGCACTAACTCTGCCTGGCGGGGGACATTTTCAGCTAACAGGAGCATGGGATGACCATCAGTGTCCTCTCCTTCCTACTAACTTGTGGCCTAAATATGCTCCAGATAAGGGACGGCCCCAGCTTTCTGCTGTGAAACCAGAACTCTCTCCCCAACTCAATTACTCCTCTCTGAATACTTGCACAATTCCCCACGTCTCGCTCGGGTTTGCATGCCCCAGAGCTAAGCGGGGTGAGCCAGACTCCCAGCACACTCTTGCGACGTATTCCCGGGGAGACGGGTCCTTGCCATATGCACTTCAAGATCACAGGCGAAATCCATTTCTTGGCTTCTCTTCAATATAATTTCTCTTTCTTTTTGAGAATTACTTATTGCCAGGTTTCTTATTCCCAGAGCAAGCCACATTTCCTAATTATTAATCTACCCTTTCATCATCTGCCATTTCTTTTATTCATGGGGTTTGCCCACCTTTGTTCCATTTTTCCCTTTTTTGACAGTAATTCAGTTACATGGCCGGCCAAGTGCAGAAACTTATCACAATATTTCTACTTTTCTTTTAATGCAAATCTGGTTTACTTGCCTGTCCAAATGAAATGCTGCTATTTCTGCATTATGTCTTTCATAGTCTGAGAAATAAAAAAAGTCAGGTGGGGTTTCTTGTTCTCTGGTTTGTCTGTAAAGAAAAACAAGGAAAGTGTTTTAGTGAAGGGTTAGCATTTCTAAGGAGCAGTACTCAGTCATCAGCATTCAGGAGTTCAGTATTCTTTGCTATATATTTGCCTTTAAATACTTTGTATGCATTATTTGCCATGTAGCCTTCATTTTATCTTCTTTTTTAAACTACTGTAACAAAAAACAGGAATTCAAGACTTGTGCATGCAGGCTGCTGTCACAAAGCTATTCCACTCAAGACTCTCGCTCTATTTAGCAAGATCTGTTTTATCACTCTCAAACATTTCATTAGTGATAGCAGTGAAGACAATGTAATTTCATTAAATTATCATTAACTAATTATGAAATTTCCAAAAGTAATAACATTTTTCTCTCATGTTTGGCAGCCGTGCAGCTCCTATCTAAAATATGACCCTCCCTCTGTATGACTTAGAGCCAGAAGTGACATGTTTTTCTCATTTCAGAAGAAATGGGATCATTGCAGTTTGACGGCCAAGACACATGTCATGTTTCAAAGAACATTAACAAGACCATGCTCCAGAGTGGATGTAGAATTTGTTGTTTCTTCAGCTTAAGAACCAATAAAAAATGTCATTCTGATGGAAATAGAAAGGCTAAAGCTTCCACACTGAACTCCACGGAAAATAGAAAGCTCTATATAACAGAGGAGCAAATCTCTGTCTCACTTTAGGCAATTTCCAGTCCTGATGGCTTTTGGATGGAGCACAACTCTGCCTGGGCCCCACCTGAACCTACATCATGCCCTATTTTGAAGCCTTAAATGGGAGATAAGCACTGCAAAGCTGCTCTGCAGAGCATCTGCAAGGGAGGACAGCTCCCCAGAAGAGGAAAACAAAGCTCTTTCTCATTCCTCGCTGTCACAGGTGGCCAGCTGACAGCTCGTGCGTTGCCCGTGCTACACACCGGCAATTAAAATACAGCTTCTACGCAGGGACCTTGTCACATAAAAGGGTTTGCGTGGTACCCATGCAGAGCTCAAACCTCCAGAGAATTTGCAGCTAGTCCTAATGACAGGGCTTGCTGGGAACCCGAAGCTGTGTCCACCCACACTCATTCCCACAAAGACCACCATGACTGTTGGGACTGGTACATGCCTGTGAGCCCTCCCGTATCCACCTTGCTGAAGAAATCAGATGAGTCTCATGGGTTTTTTCTATATGAAGATTCTGCTATGCAACCAGCAGGGTCTGGAAGGCTGATATCCTTTCTCAGACATTCTTCTTTATATTAACATCTTGGCAACGTACTCTGTCTCACCCTGAAGGATGAACAATTGCCATCATAGAGACAACATGAAGATATTTGACTTGTGTCCAGTATAACCCAAGATCAGAGCGTCCTCTGTAACACCCTAGTGATGCTCTGGCCAAAACAGCACTGACCACTGCAATAGTAGTGGTCACAGAGATGGCCAACACTTGGCAGAAGTCCTGCTAGAGTGCTGCTGTGGCTGCCAAGAGTTCATAAGGAGACAAGCTAAAAGTGAGCCTGGCATAAAATAAAAAATATTATTTTGCTTTGTCTCCATGCTAAATGCAAAAGGAGAAGGAGCATGCCCACAAAGAGGAATATGGCAGAGCCAGAAGCCTGTGGCACATCACACAATACACCATGCAATCAAGACTAGAGCTAGGAGAGCTGCAACCTTGTCGTGCATATTCCCGTCAAAAAGGAAGAAATTAGCTCTGAATATAAATTCAAAGGAAAAGATTAACATATTTCTGTTGGGCAGAAAATTACACATTTGTATATAGCTTTCTATCCCCTCCAGATTTTAAAATACTCAATTTCTTCAACAAATCAAAGACAGCAAGACTCATCCCAAGCTTTTGCAAACTTTACACATATCAGCACAGCTGATAAGTTGCAGAAAATGTTACTAATTAGCTAATCAATGCCATCTGCTTTTTATCTCTCAAAGACTTTACACAAATCATGGCTGTTCCTTTACAGAAAATCTTGCTCCAGAAAATCAGTCTTAAATAAAGGGTAAATCTCAGTCTTGCGAGCACAGCTAGACCCCCAGCCCAGCTCCATTACGCTGCCTGCTCGACGTGCCGGGCGGGCAGTACATCACCGCCAGGATAGTCCGGTCTCTCTAATTTCACTTTTCTATTTGCTCCCTGCCACCCCTGGCAATGGCTGGGGATATTATTCATTCGGGAGTAAGTATAGCTCTCCTGCAGGCTTAGACTTGTTTGTACGTATTTCTCTCCTGTCATAATGTATTATTAAGTGGTAGCGCACCCTCCTAGAAAATCGTGAACTTGATTGTCCTAAAACCTTCAAAAATGGACACCAAATCCACAGTGCAATCTAGACAATGGAAATACCGGAATTTTTTAAACCTGACTATACATCATGAAACAAATGCCCAAGTTTCTTTGATGCTTCAGGTGCCTCCCTCTACTTATCTACAGAAGAACACCCTCCAGCCACAGTCCCCGTGGCCCATGCCCGTGTCAAGCAGTTACGGCTCACACATTTCTGTCTCTTGGAAATACTCGGTTATTCTGATCATAGACTGGGAGGAGTATTTATCAAATCTTCAATTTGTTTTATATGCCTTATGTTCCTTTGCAAAGCTCTGCAGAACTAAGATGTAGCAGATCCAACATGAAACCCTCTCCTGAAATAACCCTGAAAAATTCTTTCTGCTGACTTATTCCAATATTCATAGAAAGAAGAGGAACCTTGTTCCTTGGATCTGACTTTAACTGGTAAGAGTTTTTTATTCAAACATACATTTATCGTTAATTTGATGTCTGCAGCAGCACCTCAGGAGATTAATTGGCAATTCCTCAGCCACAGGAAGCTCCCACACCACCAGCAAATGCTAACACATGTGACGATCATAGCCTAAGGTACACAACTGAATTTAAAAAGCCAAAGGAACCTCAAATGGCTTAGAATCAATGGAATCAATGGACTGTTATGAGAATGGCTTTAACAGTGTTAAAAGGGCACCTACACCATAATCCGTATTTTTTACTTTATCTAAATGTATTTATACATGATTTTATTTTATCCACTTTAGAAAACTTGCTATTTTTTAGTGTGCACAATCTAATCAATGCGTTGCCAGGTCTGGTGCTAATTCTTCTCATGATCTATTCTGATGTATACGTATAGAGATGTGGAAGATCAAACTCTGCTCTCAGCATCATGGGCGTACAGTCAGCAAGTCTTACCAGTTACTCCGGCTTTAGGTCATGGTAACTCTCACTCTCAAAGTGACAGGCTGGGAAAGGGGCATGCACCTCGAGTCCCTTCCAGGTCAAGTAAAGTCTCTTATAAAACACTGGAACCAATCCGTCCCATAGCATATTTTAAATGAGAATTGCATTTTAAAGAGGGAAAATCCCCCAGCCCTCAGGTTGTTTTGGTTTTATTACCTGATGGCTATTGAAGGTTATTTTCTAATAAAATGACACACATAATGAGACATTTGAGCACACAGACCAATACGCTGAACCCTCCGCAGAAGTATATGCTTCTGAGGGACAACAGATTCAAGCAATGGTCGGAGCTCCTCAGTGCCAGCAGTAACATCTCACAACGCGCAGGACACAGGTTCTGCACAGGGTGCAGACGGTGGGAGAGGACTTCTGGCGGTGGATCTTATTTTGCAAACAGCTGGAATCTGGTGATCCTCTCTTCGGAGAAGGATTTGGCAGATATTTATAAAGGCAGGCTGGGAAGCTCTGGAGGAGCGACAGATGGAGGTCTGTTGATACTGCACACAGTTAAAAATTACACAGTGGCACCAGACCAATTACAGCAGGAGGAAAAGACAAACCAGCACGGTAACACTAGTGGAGGAGAAAGAAGAACCAAGGGGAAATCAAAGCCCATGAAAATTTCCCCACCATGGCACAACTTAGAGAAAACGCGAGAAGTAAAGAATGGTTTCAAACAGGACGGGGCCACGTTTGGGTTGACACAAGATGACATGCAACTGTGATCTGATCCTGTGGCTAGAAAAGCGAGTCATGCTTAAAAATAGAAGAAATAAAGCTACTCTGATAAATGAACAGTCATGAACAAATCTGGTGAGTCAGTTCCATTCTAGCTACGGTTGGGAACTGTTTTGGTGTTCAGTAATATTTGGATAAACCAACATAGTGATTTGCATGCGGAAATAATTGCAAAGCCTCAAGCTTTTCTTAAATATTTCTGTAAACATTTTTTGGCCAATTACTTGATCCCTAAACCCAACATTAATAATTTCCGGGGGGGGCGGTTTCTGCCATTCATGAACCTCATCACCACAGTGAGACTGCAGCCTCTCTGACATTTCAGGAAACGCCGTTATAGAAACTAAACCTTTAACGTGGAAATCTATATTTAGTTTCCAGGATCACTTGCATACACCTGCCTAAATTACCAGGATTAATACCCACCAGGGCCATGTATTACTCGAAAGAATCCTGCCTTGACACCAGACTTCCTTTGCTCTGGAGGGGTCCTCTTATCTGTACAGCAGCCAAAAAGCTAGAAAATAGGGCAAACAGCCCAATGTGAGTCAAGTGTTATCCTGACAGACACATGCTGTCTTCCTGTGCCGCAGTCCAGAGACATTTCAGAGACACCTTTTGTGTCAAACTCGCGTACCTTAACTAATGAAAGGACGTGCCGCTGATTTGAGAACAGCTCCTTTTAAATAGGTTGCACTCCTGTTCCGACGCGTAATCAGGGGAATCAACCGCAGGGATTAGGGATAATTACGGATCACAACAACGAGCTTTGCTGCAGCAGGGAGTGGGTTTGCTTGGGTTAGACCATTTTGCAGACGCAGAGGGTGACCCTCTCCAGCCAGGGAAATTCGTCAGCAGCAAAAACAGGCCAACGAGGCATGGTAATTGCATTGGCAGGGACACGACTAACATTGGTAAGAGCGTAATTTGGCTGTTGGAACAGATAATTGGACATTATCTGGGTCTACCCACAGCTATAGGTCGCTACTCTTCTCCTTTGGAA